CGGCGGACTGCGACAGCCTGGCAGCCAGGGCGGATAGAGCCGCCGCCATAAACCCTGCGCCCGCTCCTCCGCGCCGCGCCGGCCCCGCAGCGAGCCGCCCCCCGCCACAGCCCGGCGCAGGCTGCGGAGCGACAGGGAAGAACAACGAGAACCAGCAAGCCTGGTGACGTCACAACAGGATTACGTAATGCTGACGCACCGCGATGACGCAACCCAGACACGCGCGACGCCCCCCTCCGCGCATGAGCAGTGCGCGTGGTGAGCCTCCAGCGCCTTTCCTAGCCCCGCTCACTTCCGGGGGAAGGGAAGTTCCATCTGGGCGCATGCGCAGTGCTCTGCCAGGCTGAGTTGGGGCGGGGTTCGGATGTGCAGTTCGAGTGAGGTGTGTTATGCAATCCGCCGTGCGCCCAGGTACTGAATACTGTGCACCCTGCATTTGGGCAGTGTGTTGGGCTTAGGTGATCTGAGGGGTCTCTTCCAGCCCTACCGTTCTCTGATTCTGTAGGTCCACCATGCCTTTTAACACCTTGTAATTTTTATCTTTTAGTCTGTTACTGCTATAAGTAGCTAAAGGCCTGGACTCAAAAGAATCAGGCCCATTATTTGCAAACATAGAACCAAGTCCTTACCCAACAAGCTTACAGCCATCCTCTATAATAATTTGCTTTGTTTGTGACTTGGTTGTTCTGTCAGTCACGCTCAAAAAAACATATTTGCACTTGTGTTTCTGGACTTTTAGTGATTGATTTCAATTAGTTATGGTGTACTTTCGGTATCCGAGCAAAAATTGTCCCTTAACACCCTTACTTTAACCCATAACACCCTTACCAAGGTGAAGCGGAGAATAGACAGCAATTGAATGCAGAAAGAACAGCAAGAGTAAGACAAAACAAAACATGAGCAAAGAGGATGTCGTAGAAGAGATGCAATGGAAAGGCCAAGGGTTCGCAGAGGCGAGAGAGGTCAGGCTGAAATGGTAGGCAGCAATAGATTCACTGAAGACAAGACTGAGGAATATAGTTGTGGATTGATGAACGTGGCGTGCCAATTTTGTAACTGCTTAAACTTCCAAGCTGAAAGACTATCAGATGACCAATTCCAGAGTTGTTGTTGTAAGGGTAAAGTGATTCTGCCTCCAAGAAGACCGTTTCCAGAGTATTTGCGGGACTTGATGATGAGTCGGAACAACGAGCATTACCAGAACTTTCAAAAAACATTTGATCGTACAACTGCGCGTTGCCTGTTGAGCAAAGATCATTGTGACGATATGTATGATTCATGGACCATGTGGAGGAATGAATCCAAATACACCATGCATGGAAAATCACTAATGTTTGAAGAAATAGCCAAAGGAGTTTAGAGAGGAGACACTTGGAAATGTTGATGGATACCCGTTGTGTAGAAGACGACCAGGCAGAACAGCTCAAGTTGGTAATAACACAATGAATAGCAGAAATGTGGCACCCTATAACAAGTAGCCTATTTTACCTGTCATTTTTATGGGCTTTTATGCTAGTGTATAATGTTTACCTGTAGTAGTCCCATCACCTAATGAGACTACTCAGAAGCATATACTATGTCCTATAGTCAGTGCTTGTTAAATCAGCACCCAAAGCACAATACTGAACAACCACAAAATACCTTGTAGTTATTATAACTAAAGAGAAGTGTATCAGAATGTGTTGAAAATGGTGGTACTGGCTTTATCTGTCTCTGTGATACATTGTCAATCATCTGTGTTAATACCACATTAAATTATGTATTCAGTTCACATTTTTTCATTATTGTATAGGTAAAAAAATGTCCTCAGATTGTGTTTTCACAGCTCTTTCAGACTCTTTTTTCTCTTCACTACATTTGGTATTGACATTTAAAAGCAATATTTCCTTCTTTATTGTAGATTATTTTTCCCTGGAAGCAGAATGAGCGTGGTGTTTAAATATGGTATATACCATATCATGAGGCTGCATTTCTTCTGTTTTTCAAGATTTAGGAAAGCAATCAAGCCTAAAATGTCTGCTGCAATATTTTTAATTCTGTGGGCTTTATTTTGATCTCACACCAGATTTACATCAATTTACTTCCCTATATTCAATGGAGTTATTCTGGAGTCATTGGAAGGTAATGATGTGCTGTAACTTGACAAAGTAAAAATTTGCATGTATGCAGTAATCATCACTATTATGATATATAGGTAAGTAATTCAAAGAAGTAAAGAAGAAATAAAACAAAACTACCTACACGTTGTCTAGCTTTATAAATCTTCACACACTTTCCATGTTAACTGTTTAGTCTTAGAACATTTAATAATGAATAACACAACTTTAGATGTGGGAAATCTGAGGAATGGAGGCAATGGGACTTGTCCAAGGCTTCAGGGGAAGCCAGACAGAACCAGAACACAGGAAGCAATTCCTGACTTCCAGGTTTCTTCTCAGATCTCTCTCTTGGGGAATAACATCTTAATTCCACATCATTGAAATCAATGAGCGTCTTGCTTTTGACTTGTGTGAACATATAATTCTTGATTGCAGCATTTGTTTTTAAGTATCACATTTGTTTTAACTAGTGCAAGATAGAAAACAACTCGAAAACCCCATGGTTCTCACTACTCTGCTTTGAAAAAATCATGTAGTCTGAATTTTCTAGACTAATACAATTAATTAAATAAGAATGTATATCTTGCAGTCATGATCCTTCTTTCTAATACATTGTGAATTATTGTGCTTCTTGTAAACTCAGCTACTGCACTTACCAAGTTAGCCCCTTAGTTTCAAATTGTTTTAAAGTTAAATTACACTATATTTTCCCTGAAAACAGATGTTACACTTTCAAAACAGGTATGCATTTAATTCTGTGTCTGGATATGTATTTATATAGTCTGCCAAATGCTAATCATGGTTAAGGGGTGTAGGTTGCACACCGGAAATCTATCAAAGACAGGAATACCCAATTACCCATGGGGGCACATTTCTCACAAGAAAACCACTCTTTCTCGAATCTCTCAATCCTGATCCTCAAAGGAAACTTACAAAACACTTCCCAGAAATGAGCCTATGAACTCCACTTCATCAGCCTCCTGGATACTAAAAATCATGGACTAAACATAGACATTGGATTTAGGACACATTATAACCTGCCTGACATCTGACTCCCCAGGTATCTCTCCACTATTCCTCCCCCTTCTCTCTCCCCTGCTCCCCAGTCTGTCTCACCCCTTGACTCCTCAATCTACATTTTCACTGACTACTTGTCTTGTATGCAGACCAGCCCAGCCTGGTTTCTTTACTTTTCATTCCATCCAGGAAGAGCACACACCAACTGCTGAAACTTCCTTAGCCTGACGAAGAGTTTTTGAACCCAAAAGCTTGCTTATTAATTGTTTTCCAACTATTTAAGTTGGTCTAATAAAAGAGATCAGATTCACCCAAAGAACCTTGTCTGCCAATCATGGTTAAGCACAGATGTCAGTGAACAATGCCATCTAGTGGCTGCAGCAATTATCTATGACTCAGGACCCCATGTTACACTTCTGGGTTTGTCACAGGCATTCATTGTATTTTCCTCATCTGTTAAATGGCTGTAATAAAGGTTATTTATTTAATTGTCATGTTGTGTGTGCGACCTTATCGGTTAACTAGTATGTATAAATGCATGCTGATATTCTGGGATGAAAGATGATGGAAAAGAACAAATGACGAATCCTGTAATCCTGAAGCTGTGTCATAGTGTGTAAAAGTTTCCAGTATTACATCAGTCTGATTATCCTGCCACTCCCCATCCACTTACAGTATTAATGTGGTGGTAATGCCAGTACATACACAATAAAAACATTTATACAGTGTAGTATTTGAAACATTTTGAAATGAGGACTTCCTCCTCATTTCTAAGAAAAACCTGTCAGTATTTCTTAAGGATGTTGTAGATGAAAAGCAGATTACCAAATTATAAATCAGTGTTCAAGTTCTGATATATGTTTCAGATTTATGGTTCACTATGTTATCAGTCCCCTGGAAGAATTTATAACGAATTGCAATATCACCATATGTTTTTTCTACATAATTAGTATACAATACTACACTCTGTTTGTAACTGTATATAGGCAGTCCTCCAATTTAGGACACAATTGGTTCCTGAAAACTGCCTTAAGTCGAAACATTGTAACTCAGAACCATAGGAAACAATGTTATAAAGGAGGGATTACTTCCTGAACAAAGGCCTGATACCCTATTTTCACCAAAAATAACCTAGAATGTTATACTCGATCAATTATAGAAGAGTAATGTAGCTGCATTAATGTATTTATATTGTAAATAGCAATCATTGATTTGGAAGGACTTCTTTGAGGTGACTGTTGGACTTTTTGAAGGGCTCTTGGTTGGACTTTTTGAAGGGTTCTTGGCTGGAGTCTTCTCAGAAGTTTTGGCTGCAGGTTTTTCTGGAGTCTTGTCTGCTTACTTAAAGAAGGTGTCCAAGGAAGTTTGGACAGATGTTCTCCAGGGAGATGGGCAATGCAGTTAACTTGTTTGCTGGTGTGGCGTGGCACTGGATCAAGCGTTGTAAAGTTGAAACTGATGTCAGAAAGTTGAAACAGGGTGTCAATTTATAAACGTTGTAAGTGCAAAACGTTGTAAGTCGAGGACTGCCTGTATTCAATACACATTATTGTAAGTTCCTAGCTCCGCCAGAGGGTCGTATTTTGCACCAGCTGCTACTCTCCACACCCTGGCTGCTGCTGCTACAACACAGATTCCCCTGGAGGCCACCATTCTATAGCTACCTCTAACTCAGTTCCCAGGGCTGGGGCCCCTCTCGTCTACCCCTAGGTCTGCTACCAGTTGTCTAACTCTAACCCTTCAACCTGTCCTTTCAGCCCATCCTTCATGCCTCTCATTCTACAGGCAAAGAATTTGTCTGCAAAGAGCTGTGTAAATGTATAGTTCTTCATTACCCATTTCTTTCATTTAATAAAATATTATTTCATATTAGGTACCAAAGAGATATAAGGATAATGTCAAATATAAATAAAGATATACAGATCTTAATTCATAAACAAGTAATATATAATGTACCCAAAAGAACATAAGGAACAAGAGTAACCAACTTTCTTGTATTGGATTCACAGCATCATTACATATTGAGCAATGCATGGCTGAGATTCCAAATGCAGAATTACCATACATTTGACATTCTTCCATCCTGTCCTTTTTGAGTCAATCAAATCTTATAAATACATGTCAAGAAGATGGAAGAAATACCTTGTTCTCTATTAACTTAAGTGGAATCTATCCAATGCCAAAAGACGGTTGAATATGGCTGCAAGTAAATAGCTAGTTTTCTGATATAAATATCTGAATACCCAGAAAGCTGCTGAGTTAAATGTTTAAACCATGCCTTATGCTTGTACCTTATAAATATGTGGACAGATGGAAAAAATTTGTTCCCAAAATAGTCTGATGGAAGAATACTGAAAAGAACATGTGCGTAAAGATAGCAGTTACCTCCTGACAGGATAACAACATTTTGTGCTAAAGCAAATGTTTTCTCCATGGCAACCTTTATCCTTCTCTTTTTATCCTACTGAAGTCATTTTATGTTTTATCATAACAGTCAGTTGCCATAAACACAACTGCAAGGAAAATAAAGTTACGATCTAACCACAGAAGTAAACACAAAGAATAAAAGTATACTTTTAAGGTGAAAAAGACTTTTCTAAATTATTCTTTGTAAAGTAGAAAGAAAATTTGAAACTTTTCATGTTTAGATTTGGTAACTATTGTATTTATTTTTCACATTTTAAATATTGGAACCAATTTTACAGCTCAGGTAGCACAGAATTCAGAAAAGGAGGGCAAAGGTGGTTTGATAGGACCTTTTAACCTTTTCAGTTCCAGGTCTGCCTAGGGACATGCTAACCTCTGGCCTAAGCCAGAGCAGCTTCAGATCTGTCCCACCTAAGTGTATTGCACCAGCTTAGAGTAGCAGGAGCACAGTGGTACTCTGGCAGGCTTTCTTCTTCAATCAAAATCCATGCATGAGAAATTAGTACATTCTTACACTAATGTTATCCACATTGGACAAACCCATAGTTTTTGTGCCTCCTCCTCCTTGTAAAAATGGGAAATTAAGGCAATGGAGAATCACATCTGTCAAAATTTTACTTTTGTGTATTTGTTGCAGGATCTCCAGAGTAGCGGTTCTCAACCTTTTCTGTACCAGGACCCATTTGTAAACATCAATGGCCAGTCCTGACTAGGGCGGCCATTCATCTGGTTTTATAGAGCACAGTCTGGTTTTCTGGTCCTCTGTCCTCTAGTGATATGAAACCAGATGCCTTTATGTCCTCTATTTTTCACCACTCCCCCCTGGCTGCCTGCGGGAGCTACCTGTTCGGCCCACACCTGCCACCGACACTGCCGTGGCTGCTTGCAGGAGCTCCCTGCTCCCTGTCACCACGCCTCCGCCGCCACCACTGCTGCCACCACCTGTGAGAGCTTGCCGTGCCCCCAGCCTCGGGAGGCACACAATGTTCAATGTGGTGGGGACAGTTGCACCAAATGCAATGGTTTAACTAAATGCATCTGTCTTCTATTCTTGAAGTACCTCGATGGCCACCCTAGTCCTGACCCTATGCCCCTCACTCCTGACCTGTGGGGAGCAGGGGGTCCCCCTTGCAGGCTGGAAATCTGCCAGACTGCAAGGGAAAAGCCCCGGTTTCCCATATTTTTCTCCTTTAAAGGAGAATCCACTTTAAATGTTTGCTCACAACCCTTTCATGTATTCTTGCAACCCACTCTTGGGTCGCGACCCACAGCTTGAGAAATGCTGCTCCAGAGGACTAGAGGATTAAAGAGGCGATGTTATCACAGGAGAGTGAAACCAGAGCATCTGAAAGGAGAAAGGAATCTTTGTCAGACTGTTTAAAAATTCTTGGGATCTTAACATCCGTTGAACGCAACATCCTAAACGCTTGGAAAAAAACCCATCAGGATGACCTCTAAAGGACCGACTTTTTGGTGTAATGCTGAGGGTTGCCAACTCTGAGTGAAGCTATTCCGGGAGAGTTTTTTCCTAACATGGCGCAATGTTAGTTAAATAGCTAATGTAACGTAAATCTCCCGGATTGCTTTCAGTAGTCATGGGGACATGGATGCTGATCCCGGTAGACTCCAGGCCAATCTGGGAGGGTTGGCGACCCCAGTAATGCTACGTTGCGACAGGAGAAATCAACGTTACACAATCGTAACGTGAAATCACGACACAGCTCGTGGTTTGTGGCTTGTTAGGTCATGCTGTCACCCGCTGAAAAGAAACTGGTGCTCAAGGATTTGCATAATAGAGAAACATGGTGACAAGAAGCCCTATGTCACATCACATGGCAGCGCGGCCCCACGGGTGAAAAATACTGCCCAGGGCAGCGGCAGCAGCCCCAGCACGTGCCAGCCCCATGCCAGGATACGGCCCCTTGACATGGCGACTTCCAGTGCAGACGAAACCGAGGGGAGACCCAGCGCTGCAGTGAGGCCTAACGCTGGTGACAGTCACCCTAAGGTGCTCAGGACAAGGAAAGAGTATGAATGGAGACCAGTCCCCATCCCCACCTCCCCAGACTAGGTTAGTAGCACAAACATGGCGGCCCCACAGCTGAGGTGAGGGGACCCGAGCGTTTCCGAAGCCGTCACTCTGGGCCGGAGACGCCCGAGCGTTGCCGAAGAGTCCCGAGGCCGCGCCGGCGGTAAGCTCCGTCGTCCCGAGCACTGCCGAAGAGTCCGGCGATGCCGGGCCGGCGATGAGCTCAGCGCTCCCGAGCGTTGCCGAAGAGTCCCGAGACCGGGCCAGCGATGAGCTCAGCGCTCCCTAGCGGAGCCGAAGAGTCCCG